TAACAAGGGAAGATGCATAGCAAAGCTTGTAAATAAAATTGTCCACAATAGATCATTTTCATCTGTCCACCAAAAGCTTGGGGCAGATACACAGCCCCCATATAAGACACTAACATCAAACAAACAGGCTTCCTGACTAACAGTGAAATGCACAGAGCACTCTGTGGGACCATGAGAGCGGGAGTCATGACCAGGCTGGCAGGAACAGGCTTCTCTCAGAATTTTGCCCATGGAAACTTCCTGAAATTCACAGTTAATTTACCTGAACGTACAGAGGATGAGACTTTGCCCTGTACATGGGCAAATGGTATATTCCTGAGGAAAAAATGTTCTTTGGTAATGGTCAAGGTTTAGAAATGCTGCTCCAGACATATACAAAGATACAATTTATTTTAAAAAAATAACCACCAAAATGTTAAAACTATGGCAATAACTCATAAGGTGAAGTATACATTGACACTATAGAAATCAGTATATTGGTGCTTAGATACAAGTGATAGGCAGCATCCAAAATCCTAATAGACACTTTCATCTTGCCTACACTAGGATTTTTGAGCCTGTAATTCCCAACTGGTACAGTTCTACTGGTGATAAAACTGCTGGAAGCTGTAGCATCACCCAGGCCTGGACACTTTTATCACTGAGTCATCTAACTCTGATGATCTGCTCCAAACAGAAGTGTCTGATCATAAGAACTGCCAGACTGGATCAGACCTGTAGCCCATCTAGTCAAGTATCCTGTCACACTGGCCAATACCAGATGCTTCAGAGAATGGCATAAGAAGTATCAATGTTATATGTGGAACAATCTGCATCCCACATAGGTCTCATCCTGATTTCTAATAGTTCAAGATTGATGTAAAACCAAAAACACAAGGCTTAATAACCATTCAAAATCGTAATGAATCATTATTCTGGGTATTCTTGATAGCTATATAAATTCCCAGTCCCTTTTGGAATTTTGTCAAGATTTTAGCCTCCATCTCTTCCACAGCTTAAACACATCATGTGTGAACAAGTATTTCCTTTTAACAGTTTTGAATTTCCTACTTTTTAATTTCACTTACTTGTTCTTAGATTATAAAACAAGGAGAATGGAAGCCCTTGATCTACCTTCCCTATAACATTGATACTTCTATCATATACCCTCTTATTTGTCTCCTTTGTAAGGTAAATAATCCTAGTCTTTTCTATCACTCCTCTCATGAGTTTTTCCATATCTTTGATCATTCTCATTGCTCTTCTCTGACCCCTGCCTCCAGTTCTGCAATATCCTTTTTGAGATGGAGTGACTAGTACCATACACAGTGTTGCAGGTGAGGCTGCACTGTTGATTTATATATTCCACTTCAGTGAACTGGAAGGTATCACTGGGGATTTCCAGGACCTTGAATATTTGTCTCCGCTATTGCAGAGAAAAGAAAAGGGGTAGGTTCTTTCACCTCAAAGGGACTACTAGGAAACGAAGACCCTTCCTTCCTGGGGCAGGCATATCAACCAAAACCAACACTGAAAACAAAAAAGAAGGGGAACAAACAGCCTCTCTCTGATGTTCCTGGTCTCTGACCCTAAACAACCCTCGGGAGTTTTCCATGTATTTACTCGGTTCACTGCTTTCTTGCACTACAGAGTATAATTAGACAAGTAACAAAACAAAATCTCTTTCTGAGATCCTTTACCCTTCCACGACATAATCTAAAACTTTCCCCTCCAGTATGCTGTCAGTACCATACTCAAATCTTAAATAACAAAAGGAAGACCCCTACAAACAACTTTTTTTGGAAGCTGGCGCCAAAGGTACTACTAGTTAATTTTTTTTCCCTAGAGCAGATATTTTGACCAAAATCCTCATAGAAAAGCTAAAGGAAAAAGAAGAGGGAACACTCAACCCACCCATTTCTCAAGTGTTCCTGATCTTGGACTCTAGAAAGACAACCCACAAAGTGTTTATCTACATTCACTAAATTACCCTGACTTCATAGTCTTTTTTTCAAGAGCACAATAATCCTCTCCGAGACCATATAGCCTCAACTCAAGGAGACAATTGCAACCCCATGCAGTATCTTTGGGGACCACTGTATTAAATATATGAAGACAAAAAGGGGGCGGGGGCTTTTGGTATAAAAAGGCTGAATTAGGCTGACACAGGATTTTCTTTCTGATCCAGCAAAATTTTTGTCTAAGGGAGTTCCACTCCTGCTGAAGGCTTGGAAAGGCTTTGGCACCGTAAGTAGAGCCCTGCATGGATACCAAATTTATATCTGCAGGTGCGGATACCTGAGGAGCTGCAGGGTTCTACCGGGAATGGCAGCGGCAAAAGCAGCCGCACGTCCGGCCACCGCTTGCAGGAGCCAGCGCCCCGTGCGGGCAGCTCCTCCAGTGTGGCTGTATCACCCATAGCCTTGCCCATGGGAGTGGGCACCAAACTCAGTGACTTGCATGCTCCCGGTCTAGCACGACCAGGGACAGCTGTCACTGAGCCTGGTGCCTGCCGCAGTGGGCGGCGATGGTACAGCCATGCCAGAGTTGCTGCCCACATGAGGCGCTGGCTCCTGTGATCGGTGGCCAGACGTGCAGCTGCTTTCGCTGCTGCTGTTCCCGGTAGAGCCCTGCAACTCCTTGGATATCCGCTTTCTATCTGCATCCGCGGATATACATTTGGTATCCGCGCAGGGCTCTACCCATAAGACTGATGGGTGAATCCTGGTATGTTTAGTGTGTGTTTAAACTTATTGTTTTTATACATTTTTTCTGTAATACTTTTACCTTAAGAATAAAGGTACTGCTGAGAAAGCTGCGTGGTCACTTGTAACTGGTGGCAATATACTGATCATTGTCCTTGGAGGAAAAAACACAGCCCAGGTGCTGGCCATTAGGCAGACTGACTTGCAGAGAACATCACAGTGTAAGGCAGGGGGCTGTGTAGCCTTAAAACCTCCCACTCAGAAGGGAGTGGAACAAGGGTCTCTACCCAGAGACAAGTGAGAGCAAGAGTCCTGAAACCTAAGTGGCCACTCCTGGAGTTTCCATATCTACATTTGTAGTTTACCCTGAAACTGACACAGACTAATGCACAGAAATCAGTTAGCTTCTCAGCAATGTCCTTACTACCTTCTTTAATAGTCCAGTGGTCCCACCAATTCTTTCTCAGGCTTTGTCTACACCACATAATTTTGTCAACAAAAGGCAGCTTTTGTCAACAAATAGTGGAGGTGTACACACTGAAATGCTCCTCCTACTCATGTAACTCCCCTGCTATGCTGACATCATAAAACCATCTCGATGAGAGGCATAGGGCTTTTGTTGGTGTAATTAAGGCGACAGTGTCTGCGTAGACATTGCGTTTCTTACATCGGCTGTTGGCTGTCATTCTTGTAGATTTCATGGCTAGGAGTGGGAAGGCGAGATCCCGCAACGCTGCTCCCGGATGGGAACACGGAGATGAGAAGCCTCAGGGAGCAGCTGGGCTCCCGGTGGGGAGCTGTGCAGAGCTGAGAGTTCTGGGTCTCAGTTTCCCACACTGCCCCTCTTCAGTCGATGGAAGTGCTCACTGATGAGGATGTGTTCCACTGACAGAAGGAGGGTAGTGTGGACTATATGGTGGACTTATGCAGTGGCTATAAGTTGACCTAACATACGTCGATTTAAGATTGTAGCATAGACATAGCCTCAGGCTTCCTGCTTCTGATATAAGGTATTAAAACAAATTAGATTCTTTAGCTATTTGTTCTTCATACTCCATTTTGACCCTTCTAACTTCTCTACTGCTTATTGCCTGCAGTAATTTATGCTCCTGTTTCTTGGCCTCATGAGGGACAGACTTACAGATTTTGAAGGATTTCTGTTTGGTTCAAATAGCCTCTCAAACTTTGGCCTTTTAGCTATACTGGTTTCCTCCGTGCTTCCTGGTTCCTTTTTTATCCAGCAGTATACATATCTTCTGAGATTCCATTATTGTTTTTTCTTAATAGCATCCCA